GGCCGTGAAAGCATACAAAGCGTTATCGTAATGTCAGTGTTAATAACGTTACAGTTAGGAGTGCAGAAGGCATAAAGCTCCATCAAAAAGGCTACACGCTAATAATTGAAACATCTCCTACCAGTCATTGAATATTTACGCCATCTCGATGCTTGGTCAGATCGTATCGCTGTGTGATTTTCTTGAGTCGGGTTGCAAACACCTGTAAATAAGTCTGCTCGTAGGAATGCCAACGAACCTTGGCCTGTAGTAGCGTTGGGGGCTGCTACAGGGTCATGCTACTTCAATGTAATGAACTAATAAAACTGCTACGTAGTGGTGTGTGCTACCTTAAAATCTCTTTTGTTGTTCTTTTCAAGCTAGAGTATTAATGTTTGGGGGTGATTGTTAAGACATGCAAATGCAGGCTATGCTTAGCATGAGGCAATTGTTCATCTTTGTTTTTAAACAAAGTTGTAAGGTAACTATGCAAATGTATTTTATTAAAGGGACACATAAAAGGATCTAGTTTGTCTGTTGTGTTTTTTTTGTCCATCTGGGGAGGATTTTTTCCCATCTGAATAGCTTGGTACGAGCATTGTGTTACCTGGCTCTGTGACGGAGCGACTTGATTTTGCTTTTTACCTCTTGAAAATGAAATCATAAATTTTTTCTGTTGTAGCAGAGAGAGTTGCATTTACTGATTAGGGGAGATGGGATAAAAGTTTTTATTATGTTTCCCAGGGCCTGATGGAACCCAGCCTTTCCACGGCAACAAACTTTTTGGGCTAGTTCCTTTCACGGGTTTCAGTAGGCGCGGAGGCTACTGACAGCTACAGGCAGTGACAGGAGTACACTGCAAGTGAATTAGCCTTATGTGTGCCAGCAGAGATTGTAAAATGGCTATGGGTGATGTCCCGTGATACCATCTGTCTGTTCTCTGGCTGTAGTAAAGGGACTGTTTTAATGTCAGCCCATGGTACTTCAGGTGAGGTGTAGTCTTTCTGTGGTAGCCTGGGAAAATAGAGGCAGGCTAATACAGGTGAACAAAAACCCCTTGTCTGCTCTTTCCAGCCATATCAACTGGCTTGAGCTAAAAAATCAAAAAAAATTAACACACACACACACACACACCCCAAACCAAAACCACAACCAAAAAACCAACCTACAACCCTAAACAAACCAAGCTACTTCCTTACAAATGCAGTTCATATAGGGCCACCTCTACCCCTAAAGTCTTCACTGGTCACCCAAAGCAGTGATGCCTCTGGTATAGACAGATCCTTCAGGACAAGCGCCTGAGCTCATGTTTGAGGCTTAAGGTGCCTTTCCAGAGCTGTCACTTTTAATGTGTTTTTTCATTGTTCGTTGAGTGGGGAAGTTCGCTGGGGAAGGGGACAAAGCACTCGGTGCCCCGGCAGATCGGGGCATCTTTGAAAGCCTTTTATCTGCTTTTTACCTCAATTCTCTGGAACTGGCTTTTAAGTGAAGAATTTTAATTCGCTTCCCCTTTTTTAACAAAGGAAAAAAAGGAAATTTTTTGAAATGGTGATAGGTCTCGTTCATCTTTCTTTCACTGGAGGATTTCTTTTCTTCAGAAAGTGTCATTCTTCCCCTTGAACTTACGCAAATCCAAAGTATGTCAGTAATTGGAGAGGTTTTCTCCCTCAGCCCCCCATGTTTTTCAGGCGTTTGAATCTCCCGCAGAGTAGAACATCTTTTGACTGTGAAACTCGGTAGTTTTTCACGCAGGGTGAGTTATGTTAGTAGGAAGAAAGTATTTCTTGTTCAGGTGTATTTGGAGAGGAAAGTATAATTTTAACCGTAACTTTAGAGACTGGCATTTCCTGTTTATAAACTCTCCGGCTTGTTTTACCCTGCCCCTGCGAGACAGCTGCTTCCTCGTCCCGGAGAGCAGGATTTATCACAGAAGGTACCACAGTTGTAGTCGGCATCGCTCCCTTGCTATGCCCTCAGTTTCAAAGGTACCAGGCGCCCACTGCTTGCTCCGTTAGATGTTGTTCTCCGGAGGGAGCTGGGCAGATCATGCCCCAGATTGTCTGAACAGCCTGGCAGTACCCTGCTCTCGGTGGAAGAGGCAGGCTGGCTTGCCCTCCAAAGGTAACGTAAACCTCTTATCTCGCCAACGGAGGGAGGCGAGCCTCCAGCGTGGGCAGCTGAGATTTGCCCCTGCAGGCGCTCCCAAAAATCTCGCTGCTTTTCGCTAGCTGTGTGGGGAGCTTGGGATGAAGCGTCACAAGACAGAAGCCAAACCAACAGCTTTCTGCTGCCGAAAAAGGCAGTTTTAGCGTTTCCATGCACATTCCTGGCTGCTAAACTAGCAGAAAACTGCTGTTTTCTTTCCCCCCCTCTCGGGATTCATTTGCTGCCAGGGTGTGAGCTGAGAGTCAGATAAGTGCCAGAATTGATGCAAGGAAAGGAGGGAGCA